AAAAAAAAAAAAAAATTTTTTTTTTTTTCGGTTTTACGGGAAAATTTATTTTTTAAATTTCAATTCAAGGTGAAAAATAATACGAAATGAATTGTTTTGAGGAAGAAGGAAGAAAGGGAGGGGAGGTGGGGGGAAGGGGGAGGGTGAGAGAAAATTTAAAGTTCCATTTCCAAAAAAAAAAAAAAAAAAAAAATGAATAATGTATTTAAAAAAAATAAAAATTGTGAAAAATTGAAATTACATTTCAAAAGAGAAAAATTTTTTTTTTTTCTATTTTTTTTCTATTTTTGTTTATTTGATTTTTGTCGTCGTCGTCGTCGTCGATTTGAGTGAATTTCTAATAGAAAAGGAATAAAGGAAAGAAGGAAGGGACAAAGGAAAAAAGGAAGGAAGAAAATGTTATGGCGAAAAATTATTTAAAATTTTAATTTGTTGATATCTGTCTAGAACAAGCACAATCATCGTTGATTTGTTTTTCATTAATTTTTATCATACTATCGTCATCATCATTATTATTATTATTAATATTATTATTGTTTTTTTTTTTGATAGTTTTTACTATAAACAAAAACATAATTTAACATTCAAATATCAAAAACATTTTAAACAAAAAACAAATTAAATTAAATTAAATTACTATTTTACTTTCAATAGAAAATTATATTATTCGAAATGGAATATATATGGGTAAAAGAAAATAATAATAATAATAATAATGATAATAATAACAGTTTTTTTCTCTACGTCGAAAAAATATTAAATTTAAATCTCACGTATGATTTTCTTTCGCGGATTTGAAAAATTTTTTTCTTTTTCCGGTTGAATTGAGGAAAAAATTTATTTAATTCGTATTGAAAAATTAATTTGTAATTTTATATAAATAAATAAATGAAATTTTCACGAATGAGATAAATTTTTTGTATAAAAGGAATAATCCGCAGTATTATTGCAAAAATTTAAAGATAAATAAAAAAGGAAAAGGAAAAAAGGAAAAACCTTTTTTGGGTAGGATCTTTTAATGTCGGGTTATTTATATATCGTTGAAAATGTTTTCTCAGAAAGGGGTAAGGGGAAGGGGGGAAAATTTTTTTTTTTTTTTTTTTATATAATTCGATTATGTTTGTATTATATTTAATAAAAAGTTAAAAAACTTTAATGCTTCTTCTTCTTTTTTTTTTTTTTTTGGTTCCGGAAAACAAAAAATTTTCCGAATAAAATATTTTCTTTTCTTTCCCTAAAAAAAGGAAAAAATAAATTTTTTTTTTGCTAAGGATTTACAAGAGAGAGGGGGGAGGGGGAGGTGGGGGAAGGAGGAAAAACAGGTTCAATTTAAAGGTATTATTTGTATAAGGAAATTTTTTAACCCGATAATAACAATAATAATAATTTTTTTTTTGTGATTATGTTCAAACAGAAATATTATTATCACTTTTTTTTCCTTTATATAAACATAAACAAAGTTTTTCCTTTTCCTTTTTTCCTTTTTTCCTTTTTATCGAAAATTTGTTTTGTTTGTATTAAACGCCGGTTGTTGTTTACCGTGTGAAATAATTTTTTATGGCGGTTTTAAGGAATTAATAATTTTTAATTTATATTTCAAAATTTGTTTTTTTTTTCTCAATTCCAATCTCTATCATTTACACATACGCACACGCACGCACGCACTTTAAGCAAATTAAATTATTATTTACTTATCGTAATATAATTTTTTTTTTCTTGTTGTTGTTGTCCTGTAGGAGCAAGCCAATGATGCTAAACAGAAGGCAACATCTCCCGAAGATACGGAAGATCTTTCACCCCTACCAGCCAATCAACAACCCGTTCGAAGGCGAGGGGGTATATCAGCCGAACCTGTCACGGAAGAAGATGCTACTAGTTACGTAAAAAAGGTAAGTTGAAAAAAAATTTTCTTTCTTTTTCATCCGGACAAAACCATTTTCATCAATGTTTGTGTGGGTGTGGGAAATGAATGGTATACCATTTATTAACGTAAAAATGATTTTTATTAATTTAAAAAAAAAATTAAAAAATTAAAAGTCTTTTGAAAGCTTTTATTAACACTATTATTATTATTATTATTATTATTTGTTTATTTATAAACGAAAATTAAATGACCCCCGCTTTCCCCTCCCCCAACGCCTCTTTTTTCTTCATTTTAGTAGAACGCACATACGTTTTCTCACTCGCTCAAATGTTTTTTAATATAAATTTTATTTTTAGAGTTTAAAAAAAAAAAATATATTTTGAAAAAAATAAATAAAAATAAATCTTTAGTTTTTTTTTTTTTAATTTTCGGCCGTCGGTTCTTTAAAAAAAAAAAAATGAAAATTTAAGCAACGTATAATTTATAAAATTCAACAGACCGGAAATAAGATATCTACGATTTTTTGATTTCTCCTCTTCCCTCCACCCCCGAAAAAAAAAGAAAATTCGTTGAGAAAAAGTTTTTTTTTTTAATTATATTTAGTTTAAACGACACAGGAGCAAAAAAAAATACATTTATCTTAATATCCGCGATTAATTAATTGTAACAAATAATATTTATTAATAATAATAATTATTTATTTTATTTATGTTTTGCGAAAAGTGCAGGTAACCGGAAGGAGTTGACATTTTCTTTTTTTTTTTTTTTTAAAGAAAAACAAATTTTGTCAGACGTTAGTATAGTATATGCTGACTGGAACTGGACTGGAATTTCAATGTTGAGATAAAAAATATATTTCTTAGTTGAAGATTGACGAAAGACAATCCTGTTATCCTGATCCCTAATATCCCGAAATCGAATAATTATTTATACTTATTTACTTTTAATGATTTTTCATCGAATATTTTGCGTTTTGCGTAGGTCGTGCCTAAGGATTATAAAACAATGGCGGCTTTGTCGAAGGCCATAGTCAAAAATGTTCTTTTTGCACACTTGGACGAAAATGAACGTTCGGATATTTTCGATGCCATGTTTCCTGTTAATTTTCTTCCCGGTGAAACAATTATTCAACAGGGAGACGAAGGGGATAATTTTTATGTAATCGACCAAGGTAAGAGAGAGAGAGAGAGAGTTATTTTGAGAAAATTTTTTTTTTTTTTTTTTCCGTGAGTTTTCTAGGTTTTTTTTTTTTTTTTTAAATATAACATGCAAAGTAATTTTTCCATCAATAATAACCTTTTACCCATTAGGTGAAGTTGAAGTTTACGTGAATTCCGAATTGGTGACAACAATAGGAGAGGGTGGAAGTTTTGGAGAATTGGCTCTCATTTATGGAACTCCAAGAGCAGCAACTGTTCGTGCCAAAACAGACGTTAAACTATGGGGCATAGACAGAGATTCGTACAGGCGTATTTTAATGGGATCTACAATTCGAAAGAGAAAAATGTACGAAGAATTTCTTTCTCGGGTTTCTATTTTAGGTAAGGACCGGGGGAAATAAAAAATCATTTATCCCAATATTTCCCAGTTAAATTTAAATCTCATTCGTCTATTATTATTATTCTAGAAAGTTTAGATAAATGGGAAAGATTAACCGTCGCAGATGCACTAGAACCCGTTAGTTTTGAAGATAAGGAAACGATAGTGAGGCAAGGAGAACCCGGAGATGATTTTTACATAATTGTAGATGGTACTGCTCTTGTTTTGCAAAATAGATCTGAGGGTGAAGAACCTATGGAAGTTGGTCGCTTAGGCCCGTCTGATTATTTCGGTAAACAAAAAAATACATAAGTACATACTCAATTTAATAATAATACATTATGT